TTCTACTACATTTCACCCGTACAAGTAGTTTTAGCGGCATTAGATGGTATTACTTTTATAATTATAAAAATTTGAATGACAGTTTGAAATCGTTGGAATCCAAATATGGACAGATTACAGTATCCAAATGTGGACTATTCCATAATTGGTACTTAAGAGTATCAGCTGATAATTTTGTAAATTACCTATATTTTTGTCATGTTTTATCAGAATGGCGGGCGTCAACTTGAAAACAAAACGAAAAATGCAGAGCATATGGCGAAACCTATAAAATTGATAAGAGGGAAAAAATGAGCTATTTGAGAGCTGCAAAGCACTTTGATGTACCAAGATCTCCCTTGTTTCGTTCGTGTTATAAAAATGAGTTTTCTCCGGAAGAAGCCGCAGCTACTACACTCGGAAGGTGAACTGTCTTAAGGACAACACTTGAAAATATTTTGGTAGACTACATTTTGACGATGGAGAGCAAATTTCATGGCGACGAGAAATGATGTTCGAAGAATGGAGTACATGTTAGCGAAGCGTAATCAGTTGAAAAATCCATTTGGTGAGGCTGGCATGCCTGGAAAGAAGTGACTTAAATTATTTCTGAAACTCCACAAGGACAGGCTATCAGTTAGAAGACCAACTGGCACGTCTTCTGCAACGAAAAAGTAGATTAATTCTTTAATCTCCTCGAGGACGTCTATACTCAAGGAAACTGTGGTCCAAGTCGCATATACAACGTGGATGAATCTGGGCTTACCGTAGTATAGAGCAAGATACCCCAAGTAATTGGGGAAAACGTTCAAACACTTGTTCAAACATTTCATCAAACACGTGTTTATACCCTACTTCGGAATCGAAAGTATTACTGATCTTAAATGGTCAGTTTCCTCATTCTCGTAACATCGACTTGACAGAACCTGCTAGGATAAATAACGTCCAAATTGTGTATTTACCTCCTCACACTACTTTAAAACTCCAGTCATTAGATAAAACGTTAATGGGATCACTAAAAACCTATTACATTGAACAAATACGCATGTGGATTGAAGACAATAGTCGACCATTGAGCCCTTATGATGTTGTTGAGCTATTTGGCGGAGCTTATTTGAAAGTGCAAACTAGCAATATTTTAGCAACTGGATTTCGTTTAACTAGCTTATAGCCATTGTTGCTGCGCAACAAGATGCTGTTGAAGATGGTTGCACAATCAACGTTACATCAATGTCATCTGGTCACCAACGTAAACGACCGTCGATGGCCAATTAAAGAACACCTGATAACTCAAGCGTTGAACCTGTACCCTCAACTTCCGGATTTTCTCGCAGTGATTTGGGATTCGTGTTTCCATATGACATCAGTCCAGTACCAAACAAAAAAAGAAAAGCTTCTAATAGAGAAAGGAATGCATCTGTTGAAGCAGTCATCACATCGTCACCGTACAAGAATGACCTTGTAGACAAAAATAAGAAAAAAGAAGAAAATGAAAATAAATTGGCAAAAAACAAGAATAAAAACCACAAAGAGAAGAAATCCAATGGAAAGATATCAAAAGAGAAGACTAAGACTATGTGAGATTCAGATAATGTAGAGGTGATGCTGTTTGATGCAGATAGTGAATCTGATGCCCTAGTAGGATATACAGCTCCAGACTCTTAAGATTTGGTGAGCATTTTCTGTGGTATGCTGTTTTCGAATAATACTCATAGGGCAAAATGCCTCATGTGTGGGCTCTGAACATTTTTGTTATCACGAACTTGTCAATATAACCTAAAATTGTTACAAACTCAAGGGCAGATATATGATTGTTAATAAATAGTACAAAAAGTTTTTTACTTATAACATTCATTCAAATTATGCATAAAAAACAAAATGGTATTCCATATTTGGTCACTTTCCTCTACTCAAATGATAATCAAAATTTGTTCGAAATAGTTCAAAATGGGAAAGGAAAGACTTTCATGAGAGGTTAGTTTTTGGAAAAGAATCAGAAATAGAGTCGTATTGCGTGTAAATGATCTATTAGTAAATTGGAAAGCGCTTTTACGCCATGAATTTTACGCCACCATCAGTGCGATACCTGCAAGTATGTAATTGTGAAATTTCTTTGAAGTTGAACTTCAAATTCTTTTATGAATTACTCACTCGTCAAGTATATGCAAGAAGATCTTGTGGAGTCAAAGTACAAAACCTTAATACAACCCCAAAGTTAAACCCAAAGGGGTATTTATTGTAATGTTCATGTTCACGTCTACTCAGAGTAGCGTTTTACTAAGGTTTTGTACTTTGATTCTACTGGATCTTCTTGTATATACTTGACGAGTAAGTAATTCAAAAAAAGGAATTTAAAGTTCAACTTCAAACAAATTTCACGAATATTACTTACTTGCAGGTATCGCACTGATGATGCCGAAAGCGCTTTGCAATTCACAAATGAATTATTTACACGAAATACGACTCTATTCATGATTTATCAGTCCCGTGAATGCAGCTTTGACAAATCTCAACCAAGAAGCTCATTGATTTTCAAAAGAAATATGAAAAAAAAAGAAGGATGAGGGAGTCTTCCAAAGAAAGGAAGGAAGTAACTCTATACATGGATGTGTGGATCATGCAAAGAAGTAACTTTCAGACTCCCTCATCCTTCTTTTTTTTTGTATCAAGATGGAGTAGAAGAAAGCCAAAAACTTTCTTTCCCAAAAATTAATCACTCCTAAAAAAATATAACCTCTTCAATTCAAATGTGGGAAACTTCCAGAATCTATTGACTTCCATAAAATTCAAAATAAATATCATTTATAATAACGTCTACCGTAATGGGTTCAACATTCTTCAAATTCTGATTCAGATTGTACAAATCAAAAACTTCGACAAATTATTACAAATAATTATTTCACTGTGTTCCAACATGGTTTATTCTACTGAAGAAAGAATATAAATTGTTGCAACCTATTATTGAAATAATGAATGTGCTAAAGCTGCTGCAAGAATTTATAATACGAATCATCCAGATCACAACGTGAGTCATTAATACGTGAAACAGAAGACCTGCGACAGAGAATTGTTCAGGAATGCCGATTTCTGACTCCGGACATCTTCTATAATGTAAGGAACGCTTTCAAAAGTAGACTGTATTGTTGTATGGAACTATATGGAGGTCATTTTGAACACCTTATCCGTTGATTGTGTTGCCATTGATATTACTTTTGTTGATTTCCTCAATAAAATGAGCGACAGAGAATTTTCTGTTTTTTGTCAAATAAAACGTTCAACATTTAATTTCTCAGTAACGAATGAACCAATTTCGAAAAAAGTTACAAAAATAATAGAGGGACAAAAGATCTTTCAAATGATGTATCACTCTACCCCCATGCCATTGAAAAAAATAGGAGTGTAGTTGCTGACCGCAGGTGGGTGAAGTTTCAGGTATGATTTCTATATTGGAATTAGTCCCCCTAGAAATAAAAACTGACGTGTCCTTTGAAATTTTCGATTACACGTCCGTTTCTGACTTACAGGGGGTCAAGTTTTCGTTGAAACACCCTGTATAAAATGTTTTGTTAAATTGATTCTTTCTCCCTGTTTTCAAATTGTACTTGCTCATAATTAGAAAAAGCGTACAAAATTCAAAATGAAAGGAAAACTGATAGATATCTGTGAAAGGGTCAGTTGGAGGATCAGTTAAAATCTGTAGCCTGATTGGCTTTTCAATCTTGTCAAAAAAATACATATATTCACCCAGTATGAACAGGAGAGAAGCAATATCTCTGCGAATTGTGTAATCACTATTGTTTCATTAAAATGAAACCCAACTTATCTCTTATTCAAACTCGTATCCTACATAAAGGAACATGTCACGGAGAAATGTAGAACAAGGACGGTACCTGATTTACCTATTTCTTTCGTGCAATTCTAATCAGTTGTATTACGCTTCACCTGTTCATTTTTTGCTGTGATCAAAGTTTGGTAGATGCATTAAACGTTAAAGCGTTTGATTGTCGAGATAGTTAGGTACAAGCAATTATAGACATAATTGAAGAAGTGCTGATATATCTCAATATTTCGACTTGCATTACTCCACTTCTCCTAGCACTTTGTAAATACAGTTCGGACGTGAATAGTCCCACTTCAGTCTTAACTTTCGAAAGAAACAAACAAAATATTGAGGTTGGACAGAATTTTAGTAAAAGGTGCCACTTTCAGTGCTAGTCATGCAACAATAGTGAAAATGACTAGTAAAAATTCCATCTGAATTCAGATGTAACTTTCCCACAAGTGCACGGTATGTGATATATCCCAGCTGCTGATAGTGAGTCACTTTTGTCTTCAGCCGACCTAAGGCTTTGTTGTATCTCCTTGATGGGTTTCAATGTCGTGTTTCCCCAAGAGTTTTTCCAATTCTGTCTGTCACCCTAGGGAAGTACATATAGCAGATATACACATGCAACCATCTGAACATCCTTCTTATTTGGAACCGTGGAACTCTTCAGTTTCATGGACTTGTTGATCTCGCGTACACTGTATCCATTCGATCTCAAGGTCACTTTCTTCAAACCCGTTCAGTTAGGGTAAAGATGACTCCCCTCTTTTGACTTGGATGATGGTTTGACAGTACCTGCAGGTACCTATCCATGTGCGAGGGTTTTCGGTACACTTTGTGGGTTAGTCTACCACCATATCGTTCGATGAGTACATTTAGGAATGCTATCCGCTGGTCATGTTCAGTCTTCATGGTGAACTTGATGCTGGGGTGTTGAGCGTGCAAGTGATCTAGGAAGATGTTGAGAGCGTCCCTTCCATGCTTCGAGATGACGAAGGTGTCATCGACGTAATGTAACCACTCGCGTCAGCAGAACGTTAGGACGAAATTCCAAAAATCGACGACCTTCCAACCTGAATAAAAACCCCTTCAACACTAATCCATATTTCCAACAAAACCTGAGTCAACAAATTCCGTATTCTTGTACACACACGAAAACGATGTGGTCCTAACAATGAAAATTTGAAACACTTACCACCTTTCTCAGCATTAGTAATTGTTACCCAGAAGTCAATGGTTTTCTCGGGCCCAAGTTCCTCGTAGTCCCACTTCTTCTTCACCCGGACCGAACCGTTCGGATCGACAGTCACCCATGGATTTTCGTCCCTAATCTTGAACGTCTCTCTATCGGTCTCTTTCTCCAACTGGAAAACAACGCGTCCATCTGTCTCTCCGTCGGTCTCCGTGAATTCTATTCTTTTAGTAGGCCGCACAGCTCGAGTAACTCTCCTTTTTCTCCGCGTCAGTTCGACTTCTTCCAACTGCTGAAAATCTAAATCCATTTCGACTTTGGAAGATTCCAGCGGTTTGAAGTGGAAGATCACTTGGGCGGGTCTGGGAGAAGTTCGGCTGGGTGTCCGCAGGTCGTGCGCCTCAACTATCAGTTCCAACTCTGTCTCTTCGGTCGGTTCTTGAGCAAGGAGAAGGTCACCCGTTTGCGGAACGATCACTAGGAAATTGGTAGGAGTGGCGAGTTTGTAAGCGACTTTATCACCGTCAGCGTCCGTCGCTTCAACTTTACCGATGGAAGAGAACCTCTTCCAAGTCATCGTCACGTTATCACCTTCGATCGAGTCGTCTCCGACTACGAACCTGTAGACTTTTTGTGTGAAAACGGGGCTGTTGTCGTTCTCGTCTTCGACTTCGATGACGACGTTCGTTACCGCCCTGTTTATTCCACTCGGGTCTACAGCTTGAATAGTCAGGACGTATCTGCTTGTCTCTTCGCGGTCAAGAACTTGCGATGTAACGATACTCACTCCTCCATTTCTGTCGCTGATTGTAACGTTCGGGAGAACTTCACCAGTAATGCTGTCTTGCAGCTCGAAGTATTGAGCAGAGTTTCCGGCGATTATACTGTAAGTCACTGGCACTGAGATCAAATCACTGGCAGCCTGGATCAAAGGTATGTCACTCAATCGCGTACCGGCCGGAGAATTCTCAGTCACCCGTCCCACGATGTCTTCTCCGCCATCAGTCTTGAAGCTCAACATGTTACGTCGATCGAGAACGTACAGTTTGAGCATGTGAGTCGTCGTCAAGTTGCCTTTATTTTCGAGAACAACCAGGTCCACGGGATGGTTGACCAAGGGGCTCACGTCGGAGACGGTCATTATTGAACCGTCCTGAAGCATGGTGAAGAACTGGGAGAAGTCAGAGTCGAGCAGCTTCAAGTTCTCGGCATGGTTGAATTTCTTCACGCTGTATCCTGGGTGAGCATCGTGTGGGATCACAGATATCGTTTTGGATGTCGCAGTGGAGAGAAAGGCCAGAAATGCCACGAAAAGATTCGTGGATTTCATTTTCGTGGACATAAGGTTCATTCACCTACGTCGCATTCCAGAAATCCTGAAACAAAAAGGAGATCGTTATCAGATTCTATACAAACGTATTGGTATAAATATAACTAGGAGTTATTGTCTGAAAGAAGGTATTATACCCACTTGCAATAGATACATCAGTTCAAACAATATATCATTAGCAAACAACTGAGTAGACCAACGCAATCAAGCAGTTTAAGGGCGTTCTAAAATGGTTTATTGAAGAAAGGTCTTGGTCAATTTCAAAGAAAAGAAAAAATTCAACAGATAACACTTATAAAACTCTCGAGAAGAAAAAATTAGCCCATCAAGAAAATGATCCAACCCATTTGTCAGCCTCACACCAGAGCTTGTGCCCAAAATCAATGAAACGTATCTCGCTTGCAATAAAGCAAAATGAGCTGCTGACGTATAGCGACAATCCATCGCTTTCAGAATGTGTAATATCGGTGTTTTCAACTCCTAAAACCTTTCATACAGGCTGAAGAACATCTAGGATCTAATCATTTCCCAAAAATAGAGAAAACAACATGCGGAGCGGGCTACGAACAGTGATTCCGTTAAAAACTTCAAAAGATCAGAAAGAATCTAGTTCAGCCCAACCAAAAGGATACGTGGTACCAGAGACTTCTCTGAAAATCTCCTGCCTATGCTTCAGCACCTGAATTGGCTCGGCTGGCGAAGCGGTTCGGCGTGGGTGCTTTGTTCACTCACTCGAATTGACTTCACTTGCTATCGTCCAACCCGTGTTAGGAATCACACGTTAAAAGGTGAGATCTCGTTAATCCTTAGCTCGCACAAGTTTCGACTTCTGAGGGTTGTCGTTCGTAGGGGTGCGACAGTTGGTTAACGGAAAAACAGATTTTAAAACAGATTGTCTAGTTTTCTTTCGCATTCTGATTGTTAACGATGTATCCTCCGATTCACTTTTTACCATTGCTAGCCTTACTTCTATCGTATTTCTGTTTCACATACAGCACTTCCCCAATATACACCGTCTCTGTTAATGAATATCTATTGGACGATAACTATGAAGAGAAAAAGTTGGACAACCTATCAGATGGTATGTTTCTTCGGTATTAGTTAGCTGAAAACAAACATGCGTTCAAAGAGATGGTGATCAGCTCGAACTTGAAGAAGTTGTTTTGGTGGGGTAATAAAAACGAACGTTTGTTTGAAGGTGGTGAAAGAGACTTTGACTAGAAGGCAGAAAGAGCTTCACAAGGATAAGAAGCCGCCACAAACAGTACTTGTACTTCCCTACATCAGAGGATTGTTGGAAAGGATAAGAACTGGATCCAAATATAACATCAAAACCTGCTTCAGATCTGGGAACACTATCCGTAGCAGCCTCACGAAAACCAGGCCACCAAACGCGGGCAAGAAACACACACAGCTAGAAGAAACCAGCATATCAAGAATAGCCGCTCATGTTTGGACTCATCAACATAACATCAAGTGGTCTCAAACTGAAATCATCCACAAAGAGGAACATTGGTTTAGGAGAAAATTCAAAGAAGCCGCATGTATATTTTCCAACAACGCATTTAGCCAAGCTAGCGTACCTGATACGCAACATATGGAAACCTATAATCAAGCGGAACACAACCAACTCCCGCAACACGGTCAGCTCTCTCTGAAACCGATGAAGCAGGAAGAGGGCAGAGGGGATAGGTGAAAGCACTCGAATGACCTATAAATAGTCAGATCTAGGAGGAATGATTTTTAATTTTCATTTCTTGTTAATCATCTTGTGTCTCATCAACATATGAGCTTGATTTGTACTAAGCATATTTGGGTCTTATCTTCGTTCTAGAAAGTGGACTCTCTGGATGACCGAACATGCAATGGATATGACACTGGTCAATAACTGGTTGGATCAGAAAACCGAAGCTTAAAGCCTGAAAATACCTAAACTGCATATCCCCGATCTCAGAATATTTGATACAGCATTGAGAGCCCTCTAAATGGTGTTGTTCCTCATTAAAAATACAATCTAGGGTAAAATTTGGTAGAATTTGACATGAATACCTTTGATAGAATTGAATATGATGAATGCGTTGTGTTGAAGGTGTAATAACTACTCCAAGAAAGTTTGCTCTTGTAGGAAGACTCACAATAACTCAAAAGCCAAAGGAGTCAAACAAGAATTCTACGTTTTGATAATCAATTTGAAAATTTCATCCCATACTACCGCCATTTTGGAAATAACATCATAAATCAAATACCAATGAATTGAAGGACTAAACTTTGTTTCACGCCTTCCATTCCAATTCAAAATATACTTTCAGTTATCACTCTAAGAAATATCAAAGACTCGCAGACCTACCATAATTGGAGACAAAAGTTGTACCTTTGCAACTAAATAACCATCGCGTAGGTAAACAAACATCCATAACGACGGGTATAAACAAATGATAACAAAAAGTGGGCACGAACTACCTTCGAGTCATTGCCAATAGGACGTTGTTTACTCATCCAGGATAAGAGGAAGTGATGCGATTGGTGTGAATATTTCACTTCAATAACTCTTCATCAATGAACATCCAGCCGACAAAATTTACATAATAGGCATTCATTAACTACCTGCTGGCTATCGCACCTAAGAACATCATATCATAACAAGTTTTGTGAATTTTCAATACTAATCATATTTACAAACGCATCCAACTGTTGTGAAGTAACTAATAGTACCTTTATTACAATTAGATGAAATAATGACCACGATTTATAGCCTAAAAGACATAAATAATTCAAAACAGATGATTTATCAGCTCTCCCTCGCTAGAATTATTTTGACATTTTGGTTAATGACCCCCATAGGCTAGCGTAATTATTCCGTAAACAATTATAATTTATTTCACCTAATATTTCAGATTGAACTGTGGTATATTCATGGTCAGTTTTTATACATTGGAGGCGATTATGTAGGTTGTAGATACGTTAGATATAGGAAAGGAGATAATCCTTTGAAATAGTGTATGAGGTTCGCTGCGAGAAAATTATCATTTTCCCTCCAAAATTGTTGTACACATATAACACCTTTCAGTATAAATATGCTCTGGTATTGACACTCCTGAATTTTCCAGGCAATCAGAAGGGATTAAAATAGAATGGAAAATCTAAAAAACCNAAAATAAAAACATCAAAGCCTACTGATGAGATATATTTTAATTTCCACTATTAAAAGTTTACAAAAAGCGACACGTGTTTCGCAATGCAGCAGGGTCCTACTACCAACAGTATTTTGTTAAGGACAAAACACAAGCACTACAGAAAGCTCCTTAAGGCGCTCTCAGGTGTCTATGCGAAAATAGCGATTCACATTGGATTTGAATCGCTGGAGATTAATTGAATCCATTTGAAAAAACTTTCTCAGGAAGTTTATTCCACATAAACGCAGTCCTTCCGATAAAAGAGTTCTTAAACAGTAAAGTTCGAGGTGTACTGAGTTGAACCTCAAAACGATGCGCAACAACAGTCCGTCTCGTATTTCTGATATGTACCGCTCTTGGAGGAATCAAATGTACCAAGTCACTTGAACACCTCCCACGAAAGTATTTAAAGAAGAGAGACAAATCTCTCTTCGATGTTCCAAGCAAGGTTGCACGTGATGTTCGCGTCTCCAATCAGGCGAATGGCTCTTTTCTGGATGGAATCCAGCAACTTCAGGGTATGTTTGAGGGAAGAGCTCCATACATCAGAACAATGCTCCTAAGAAGATCTCATCTGAGCTGATCTAAGATTATACAGTTTTCGGGTACGAAACAAAGCAGCCTTTGCAATTCCAGCGATATGATAATGCCAAGACATATTGGTGTCCATTTTAACCCTCAACAAACTAATCGAAGCAGAAAGCGGAATTGTCTAACATGACATCACTATATCGGGTTCAGAGACATTTATTTTCTTGGAGAAAACCGATGCCTGGGTTTTTGTGGCATTGAATTGAACCTGGTTGCTTTCACCCAAATTCGAAATCAGTTCTAGATCATCATTATGTGCATCCGTAGCCAATGTCCTGGAATCCATATGGAATGACGACACAAGTGTGCTGTCGTCTTGGATTCCTGTTTTTTTCCAAAAGGTCGTTGATACACAATGAAAAGAGGGTTGGAGACAACCTATATCGATATCGAGAGATATCGATATCGAGAGATATCCATCGATGGCAATTTGCAGGGAACGTTCTTTCAAGAAGTTGAAGAGTCATACCCAAAAATGATCCGCCAAGCCATAGCATCGAAGTTTGTTCAGCAAACCCTCATGCCACACACAGTCAAAGGCCTTAAAAATGTCAAGCGCAACAGCTCTTGATTCTCTATGTTTCTTGATTGCGTTATTCCAAATATGGGTGACATACGATAGAAGGTCGCCTGTTTCCGAAAGCCATACTGATAAACGCTCAAGATGTTGAGGTCTTCCAAATATTAGAGCATATGGTGGTATACAAGCAAAGAGCATGGTAATGCAGTTACCAACATGCTCAGTAGCAACTTTCGAATTGATTTCTACATCATAAAACTTGATTTAATTTTAATTCGGTACAGCTTCTTCGAAACCAACGTCTCATATACTGGCACTTCTGACACGAGTCACTGATGAAACGAATGACCGGATGACCTGAGTAAATTTATAAAAACAACCTAGCTATGGATCTATGTATTCAAACTGTAATATCTGGTTGTGATTGGCGAAAGTTCTACCAGTGTTCGAAGTGCTTGAAAAGATAGTAGTCGGTTGGCGAGAGGTCTGGGGAGTGTGGTGGGCGAAGCAGAACTTTGACGCTCAACTCGTTCAATGCTCGGACGGTGATTTGTGAAACGTGAGGACGGGCGTTGTCATGGAGCAGGATCGGACCTCTTCTGTTGACCAGTAACGGCTGTTGCTGACGCTATTTTCAGTACATCTCGTCGATGCCCTCACAATAGGACTCTGCTGTGATAGTTTGGCTCGTTTGCAGAAAGTTATAGTAAATCACACCAGCTGCTGACCACTACACAGTAACCATGGTCTTTTTGGTGGGTTTTTGCCATTGAGAATTCACTGAATGGCTCATCGGTATCCAACCACTGACCTGAACGTCTCCTGTTGTCGTAGAGGACCCACTTTTCATCACGCGTGACAATCCGATCCAAAAAAGCTTCGTTTTGGTGACGCAAAAGCAAAGAAGAACACACCTCGAAACGTGGCAAGTTTTTTGGCCTTTCCAATACGTTCTAGACCATCAAAACCGCTTGGGAGTCGCCCAGTTCTTTCGCCATCTCACGCACCTTTTTGTAATGGGTCAGTTTCCACCGGAGTCAGTTTCCACCACTTTGGGGCTGATCTTTGAGGCTGAACCAACCTCGTACAGTGCGTTCATCAACACCATCATTGGAAAATCGTTCTTATATTTTTTTTTACTCCGATATCTCTTTTATACAAATTACAATGTATTAGGGTTTTGGATTGAACTTCATCATGGCTACCACGTGCACACGTTCCATTTTCATTCGACGTTTCGGTTAATCAGGGCCCCCCTCATCAATTTTTCTCATATACGGACCTGTTTTTTTTACAAATCATGCTGCCTCTCTCAATCCTGCGTACCGCTTATAACTTTTTCTCGGCATTTCACTCAAAAAATATTATCATAACTGAGTTGATTCGTATCTGAAAATTGATATGAAGCAAAGTACTTCAATGGTTATTAAGAAGTGAGAAGCCTACAATGAATATCAAATAATCAAGTGTGCTTGCAAAAATTTCAAAAGTTCATTATTCGACTTTAACATTTCTAGAAAGTTGTAACTCTTTAATTAGACAACATGCTATCATCATGTGAATCAAGTTACCCTTCCTTTCATATTTATTCGGTCCCGAAATATTGGAAATCGATACTGAAGCCATAATTTCGTAATATTACTTATCTGAATGAAAAAGAACAACACGAATAAATATTAAGTCAGACAAACATCGTTTGCTTCCCGGGCACAAATAATCGTCGGTACCGGTCCTGTACGCCCTTTAATTTTTAAAAGGCGTTCCTACTCTCACTGGAGGGTCGGTATTTCGCGGTGTGGACTACTGAAATATAATATTTCCGGAATTTCAGAAGACTCACGGTGTGTTCCTCTGAATAATATTTACTTGATACATCAGCATTCATGTGGAGAATGTTTCTCAAATATTTATTACGGGTTTTAATCAACTCATAGACTACCCGAGGAAATCATTATAAATATTCAGTTTTTGAGTGCGTAGAATATAGAATCTAATCTGGATTTCTAAAGTTTTTGCATTGAGCGGTAGATTCTGAATATTCCTTGATTCTAGTGTGAAATATTCTGAAAACTTTTCGTGTCAAAGATTTGATCAAACCTCTGAATCGTGTTTGAATCGATACTATTCTGTTTAAAACCGAATTCACCCTCGAATTATTTGCCTTAGTGCGGACAATTCTAAAATTAACCCTTTCGGCAGCTCTGAACATGCAACCAATATAATACATCAAAGGCATTCGCCAGAAACTAATAAAATGTTGGGAATGCCATGCATGTTCCAAATGGGGCATGTGCGTAAGGTATTATTTGTGTATTTCTGTGCAAAAGTTGAGGGGAAGGGCCACGCATTATATGTCTAAAATCAATAATATTACTACAGCGCTGCCTTGATTCTAACCCGCAATTTTGACATTTGACAATAAAATGTGGGTAAAATTCATCAAAAAAGGCCCAACCAACAACTTTTCATTCATGACTTTGCGAAAATTAGAAACACTCACTGATTTATTGAGACGAAATCGGCTAGAAAATACGACTGAAGAATCCAATCGCTGGTCCCTTCCCACAATTTTCCTTCACCTACACATCAATATCACTGCAAAATGCACAGGTTTTCACTATAAAAACCTCACACTAAAATAATGTAACTACAGCATCTCTACTAAACAAACCCCGCATCTGCCGCATCAATACTGGTCTGTCTGTGAACGATTTCAACGCGCATATGGAGTTATGAAGATTCCACGACGCCCGACGTGTGGCGTTTACAGCCGAAGAGCGGTAAAAATGGCCGACGAAATTCCACCCTCACCTAGACTGTTATGTAATTGTCCAACACCGCAAGGAGTTTGCGACAAAGTGCTGCAGGCAGCTGAGATTTTTTTATCAATTACCCATCACCATGCTAATTTCAACAGAGAGGAATCTTTCGCGATAAAGAGACGAGCAGGGAGCTTAAGTGACGGCCAATTTGAATGTGGGGTGAGAGAAGCAATGATGCAAAGCAGAATACTGCGTGTGGACCCGTTATCTGTTATGCATCACTTTCTGATTGGACTCGTGTGCGAAACTTTCTATACCGGGTGTCCCCAGAACACCATGCACCGATGTCATTAAAAGTGACATTTTTAATGGTTGTCAAGAGTATCAAAAGATGCTGTTTACAAAGTAGCGTGTTGAAAATAACACTATAGTTTGTTCAGTATTGTCTGAGAGTAAAAGAATTTCAGGAATGCAAACATGTCGCTACATCAAAGAAAGCAACATAGTCGTCTCAAGCAAATAGCACTGCAATTCACCTACAAAATCATTGAGATATGTCGACCCTCCATATCCCTTGAGGACGCCGCTGACGAGCCATTAAAATTGGGATAAGCGACTAAGAACGCGAAAACACCGACAAGGAATGCGAAAATACCGCCAAAAGAAGCGCTCAATGTTTTTTCTGATATTACGTTTAAGATAATATAATTAGTATAATTAGGCGTCGGACTGGAGGCATTGATATAAATTTTCCATTGATTTATTATATATGATGAGAAGATAATTAAAATATGGTGAAAACTTGACGGCCAATTTGAATGTGGGGTGAGAGAAGCAATGATGCAAAGCAGAATACTGCGTGTGGACCCGTTATCTGTTATGCATCACTTTCTGATTGAACTCGTGTGCGAAACTTTCTATACCGGGTGTCCCCAGAACACCATGCACCGATGTCATTAAAAGTGATATTTTTAATGGTTGTCAAGAGCATTAAAAGATGCTGTTTGCAAAGTAGCGTGTTGAAAATAACACTATAGTTTGTTCAGTATTGTCTGAGAGTAAAAGAATTTCAAGATTGCAAACATGTCGCTACATCAAAGAAAGCAACATAGTCGTCTCAAGCAAATAGCACTGCAATTCACCCACAAAATCATTGAGATATGTCGACCCTCCATATCCCTTGAGGACGCCGCTGACGAGCCATTAAAATTGGGATATGCGACAAAGAACGCGAAAACATCGATAAAGAATGCGAAAATACCGCCAAAAGAAGCGCTAAATGTTTTTTCTGATATTACGTTTAAGATAATATAATTAGGCGTCGGACTGGAGGCATTGATATAAATTTTCCATTGATTTATTCTGTATGATGAGAAGATAATTAAAATATGGTGAAAACTAATTTTGTTTAAATATTTTATTTTGGGAAGGACAATTTATATTTGAAATAATTTTTTATTATTAAGAATTGTAACCTTCTACAGATCTATAAAATAATCAGAATATTGAATATTACAAATGTAGAAAGGGCAAAAAATTACTGCATTTGATAAATTAGCTTTTGGGGAAAAAATCAAATATGTCATTGACCTGTATTTAAAAAAATTTGCATGTTTAAAGAAATATGTATCATCTGCTGACGTTTTAAAGACTCTATCCATTTTCTTTATCCAACCTATTTAATCAAAACATTATAATTTGTAGTTATGATTCATCTTTTGATGTAAATGAATTTGATATTATTATTATCATTGACACTGATTATATCAAATTGATCGTCGGTATGATAATGAAGATGGATGAAGCATTCGAAACATCACCAGAAAAATATACAAATAGAATAGATTTTCGCGGTTAGAAATTTGAACATCTAATTTCGAGTTGAACTGCGTTCAAAATTTTGCGTTGTTCGACGTTTCGGCTTCGACTTTGACATTTTCAGGAAGTAGAAAAGTGTGGCTGCACTGAGAGATACACTTTATATATTATTGTTGGTTTGGAAATGAAGATTCATATTCCTTATTGGATTTTATAGTTGATTCAGAAACAATTTTATAGATTCAATGAGAATACTTACTTCGAATAAGACATTGCGATAATTTTAATCTGAAAAAAGTCTACAGAGATTCGTTGAGTGATACCTCACTGGATGAATCAGTTTCATTAGGAGTGATGACAACTGGAATGATTTTTTCTGATAATGAGACTATGCGATCATCCAGATCCCACATCTCTGCTTTGATTCTGATTGTTTTGTGGATACATTTTCCCAAGCTTTTTGGTCGACTGTTTCCAGAGCACTTTATAGGTATTTTTTTACTGCACACAGCTTTAAGGTCTTATTATTTCTTGCGATGAATCCTTTAACTTGAGCCCAAACCAACTCTATTGGATTCAATTCACAGCCAAGTTGAGGAGCTCCGCTTTTCACATGGTCGATTCAAAAGGAATAGCTTCTTTCATTTGTAACCACTCAGTAATATCTGCTTCCTTCCAACACAACGTCGGCAGCTTCTCGACTCGTCTACTGTGGTAACTTGCGTCATCCATTACTACTACGGATCCCTGCGGAAGTTTTACAAGTATCTTTTTAAACCATTCTTCGAATACTGTGGCATCCATTTTTTGATCATAATCCCCATTTTTCTTCGATTCAAACACCATCAATCCATCTTTCACGAACCCTTCACTGCTGACTATGTGAGTGATGATAAGACGACGACCTTTTCCAACTAGAATTTTCAAACCAGTGGACCAACCTTCCATAAAAGCTTATCGTCCACTTTTGATGTTCTGATCTTGCCAAACCTTCGAGACGGTATGACCCTCATTGATCCATATTTCATCCAAATAAAAAATAGATTCACCTAGTGCTCTGGCTTTCTTTATTTCTCTTAAATAGTTTCTTTTCCATTCTACAATCTCAATTTTTGTTATTAACATGCTCTTTTTATCTTGCTTTCCAAAAGTGAAATTCAGTTCTTCTTATATCAGGAAACAAACTGTATTCACGAATAACTGACAACACTTCATTCAATGTAGGTATTTCGTTTTTTATATAAAAAGAGTGCACTGTTCTCCTTATAGAATTCTTGACTTCTTCATCGATAACCAAACACTTTGTATCAGTGGATACTTTCGGCTCGAAAAAGTTGTTGTTTTCCTTGAGTTCCTTGAAAATTCTAAAAATTGTCGATCTATTGACACCGGTCATAATCGCCCATTTTTGCACTACTTCCTTCTTACTTTTCATTTCGGGCGGATGTTGTATTCTTAAAGAATTATATACATTCATAACAATTGTTTTTTCATTTATATTTAATGGTGACAATTTCGGACGCTTCACGATTTCCGAACAACTAGCTTCCATGTTGTATAGCTGTTTATTCAACGCGCTCTCGAAGTAAACTGAAGAATATCACGAATAACCCCGCTAAAAA